AATCATAAGTTATAAAATTAAAACTTATTCATATTACATTTTATCTTGTTTACAACCATTAACAAAATAATCTTACATAATTATAATTTAATAATACTTATATATTATAATATTATAATAATTAAGAAATTATCTTTAATTTTTATACTTTTTTTAAAGTTTTTGATACTTGATAATTAATTTTTATCTTTATAATAAATTTAAGATTATTTATAAAATAAGTAACTTAATTTAAATTATTTATATTTATAATTTATTTAATTATATTTCTAAATTTAATATTATAATTTTATATAGATTTAGTTTAATAAAGAGAATATAATTGATAATAAAGATATTATTATAATAAAATAATTAAAAGATATTTCTAAGAATAATTATAAAATCTTTTTAAATATTATATAATATATTATTTTGAATTTTATATTTACTAAAATATTAATATAAAGTAATATTTATTAAAATATAATAGTATATTATACTATTAATAATATTTTAAACTGAAAATATAATCTTAATTTATATAATTAAATAAAAATATTTTTATTTAATTTTTTAAAGTAGATAAAGAGTTTAATAGAAAGATAAAATAAAAATTTAGAATTAAGAAAATCTTTTTTTTATAATATTAATAAGTTTAAGTATATTTTCTATAATTCTTTAAATTTTTTGAATCATTTTTTATTTATATTTATTATAATTTTAAAATTAAATTAAAAACTAAAATATATATAAAGATTTTAAAATTAATTTTTAAATAGTTTTTTGAAAAATTATTAGTAATTTAATTATATAAATATTTAAATAATATTTTAAACTAATTCAAGAATTAATTCTAAAAGACATATATTATAATATAAATATTATATATAATATATATATTATATAATAATAATTATATCTATTATTATTAAGTTATAAGATTATTTATTTATAATTATAAATAAGATAAAATATAAAATGAATAATTTTAATTTATAAATATTTATAATTTTATTATTTAAATAATATTTAAATTTAAAGTAAAAAATATAAAATAGAGTAATATATTTATATAAGATAAAATAAATTAATAATCTAAAATATATATTAATTTTATATAATTAATAAAATTTATTATCTTAAGTTATATTTTTGAAGGATAATTTGGATAATTTGTATTTAATCCAATAATTATAAATATAATAAATAATAATATAATAATAATAATCAAAAAACAAGTAAAAAAAATATGTAAAAAATATTAAGAAAATAAAAATTATCTAAATAAGTTTAGAACACATGATAATTATTAGCATAACAATATGTAATTAATTTAATTAATTTAATACATAATGATCATCTGTATGAAATTGATCTTCAAGAAAGCAATACAAATAAAGTGAGTATTATATAATATTTGTCAAAAATATAAAGTTTTCCAGGCAAATTTTGCCTGGAAATAATTTATAAAGTAACTTTTAATTCAAATAATATTTACATTTTTTATAAGAAAAATAGATTTAATTATCTATATATTTTCCACTTGGGACAGATTGTGATTTTGGGCACAACATATACATACCTACTTCTATTGGTTTTTAGGAATATCGGATGCTGGATATATCGGAATTTTGGAAATGTCTGGATGTTGTCTGGATGTTGGGCGTTCGGAATTTTGGGTATTCGGGAATTTTGGGTATTTCGATCATTAGTGCTAATGAACGTTCAGGATTTCGTCCAAACCATAGAAATGAGAGAAATCCAGATTGACATTCTGATATATGTCACCCATGGACGTTATTTTGAAAAGATCAGGTTTAGAAAATCGTCCTTATGTACAAGCGATTTTCTGTGTTAATATTTTACATAATCAATCACCGGAAAAGTGCAAAATGGTCTAATTAATAATTTGTAAGCTTTGTGTTTATGCACAATCAAGTAAGCGTAATAAAAAAAAGCGGAAAAAAGCGGAAAAACGAAAAGACGAACGACTTAATTTGACGTAAAATAATATATAAAGTCAAGCCTAACGTTTGGCTTGATCTTCAGCTAGAGACATTCAAAAACTCTCTTTTTTGCAAATACGTATACCTTGATAAAATAATCATATCATGGCTGAATTTCATGGATACGCCGCGTTCGATAAAGAATCAAAATTATCTCCGTGGTCGTATAAACCGAAACCGTTGGCTGATGATGAAGTCGAAGTCGAGATTTCGCACTGTGGTATTTGCGGTAAGTTTTTAATTATTTTAATTTTATTTTATTACCTCATCTTACATATATGTTTGTAGGCAGCGATTTACATACAATGAGTTCTGGATGGCGACAAGTTGACTATCC